GGGGGGGTGGGTGAGGGCGGTGTGTGAGGGGTCGGGGGAGGGGGGCAGGACGGACTGGTCCACGCAGATGTCCTCATCCACTGCCTTGTAAAAGAGAAGGTACCTGCACAGACAGAGGGAGGGAGGGAGCAGCCAACAGGTGTGTGATGTGAGATGGGCGTGTTGGTGCCCACCCGCATCTGAGCCCTTCGCTTTCGTCGGACGACCCGTAGAATGACTCGAGCACCTCGGGCTCGATGACACGCACGTTGTGATCGTCGAAGAGGAACCAGGTCTGGTGGCTGCAAATGCAACACACGTAGTGACCGTGCGACAAATTGCTGAACGACACGACGCACACACAGGCACAAGAGAGGTACAGGTGAGGTGACCCACATCGTCGTGAGTGCCCTGGCAACTTACGCGCCGATGTGCACGACGACCGCCAGCAGCTGATACAGCCGCTGAGGCCGCAACGGATCCGTGCACTGACACACATGAGAACACAGCCATGGACAATGCTGAATGACTGACAGGCTCCCCTGCTCTCTCTTGCCGACCAACCGACCATGAGCCTTAGCTCCATGGGAAACACCACCCGATACGGCAACCTGCATACGGGGCGCACACACGAGAAGGTGAGAGCCTGTCGTTTGTCCATCGCCTTGGGTGTGATGTTTTCCTTCCTTGCTGCTCCGCTCCCCACCTGGCGTATCTGCCCAGCTGTTCGACAAACTTGAACCGCTTCAGGTGGAGGCACAGCAGTGGTGGGAGCCGCCTGAGCGTCAGCCGCCTCTCGGCCTCCTGCAGGCACCCGCAGTGGTCGCAGAAGTACTTCTCGCCCCCACGCAACACCTCACGGGAAGAAAACTTCCGCACACACGCCTGATAAACGAAAACACAGACAGACAGACAGACACACATGGGATCATTCTCGCGCGTGTTGGTCTGCCTTCTTTGGGTCACCGTGAGTGAGGTGTTCTCATCGATGTCGACAGAGAGGTCGAGGAAGGGCTCCTCGCGCCGCGTGATGGTCTCGCAGCAAAGGCAGCGGGTCTCGTTCTCGAGAAGGCCCTGGAAGATGTCATGAACCCACGTCGTCACCTGCGCCAACCACAACACACACAAGACAGAGATCCTCCACGAGCTGGGCTGCTCTCGGCACGGCACCCAGCCCACTCCACCGGTCTGGAAGTATCGAGAGCGGTCTTGTCGAGGCCTGCAGGGACAGAGAAACAAAGAGAGAGGACGGATGGGTGGATGGGATATGCGCCGATGAATGCCGTTGTCCTCGCTGGATGCGCACTTTGCTTCTTCTGCTCGACGAGGTATTCCGCCACGTCGTTGATGAGGTAGTTGAAGAACTCGTGTGCATCGTGGTGGGAGGCAGAGCGAAACAAATCTGACACACACAGGGGAGGGGCACTCAGTGTGATTGGTGTGGCCATTCCCCTCCCTTTCCCATCTGTGTAGGTAGGTACCGTTTTCCTCCCTGAGTTTGGCGATGAATCGTTTAGGCGCCACGCTGCCCGTCTTCTTCTTCTGGCTCTCTATCTGAGCAAACAGCTCCGCCAACGCCATCAGCATGTTGCTGCCCTGCAGGCACAGACCAAAGCCACACATGACAGCAACAAGACGAGCATCACCTCCATCCAGTAAGGCCATCTCATCTCATCTGTGTGTGCGGGCTCTATGGCATCTATCCATCCATCGGACCTTGTCGCTGTTGCGATCTCTGTCCTTCTCCTTCTCCTTGAGGTGCCGCAGGCAATGCCGCCGGAATGGCTCGCAGAAGTAGAGGCACTGGAGGACGCTGTTGCAGTAGCATGTGTTGCCGTGGTTCTGCAGCCCGTAGTACTTCTCGTTGTTGTCCGGGAAGTCAGAATGCTCCTCCTTCGAAGCCTCTGAACCTGGCAATCACCAAACACACGCACCAGTGATGCGAAGGCGAGATGAATGGCATTGCGTGTCGTGTGGGAGCGCGTTATCTCACCCATGCTGTCGTGATCACCCCATTTTCTTTGTGCATCTTGCGAGCTCGCCGGCGAGCTTGAAAGGAGAGCGGACAAGAACGACAAGATCACCACATCTGTGCCTGCAATGGGTCTTCCCATGACAGCGGCTCTATTTTGTCCAGAGAACAGAGTCATCTGCAATGATCTCTCCGTCAGTTGCTTGCAGCGGCGTCAGCAGTAGCAGGATGCAGAATGCCGTCATCACATTCAGCCACGGCAACTACACGGCCGAGTTTGAGGAGGGCACGCAGCTGGGTCAAGGGAAGGGGGAGCCCGTGGTGCTGGGGCAGCTCCGCCGGCCTCTCCCTAGTGGCGTCGGGATGCCGGTCAGCGTGGCGATCAAGCGCGTGACGCTGATTGAGGAGGAGCTCCTCAGCCCGCAAGGCCTCAGGAATCAGAGGAACGAAATCGCCGAGCTTCAGGCCGAGGCCAAGGAGCTGCGGCGGATGGATGGGTGGCCGCCCTTCATCCGCCTCATCGCCGCCAACACGGACCCCTCCAGGCCCGCCACCCTGGAGATGCCCAACGGCACCAAGAGCAAGGTGCTCTGCATAGCCATGGAGCCGCTGGGTGAGTGAACCACACAGCACGCGCACACACATTTGGATGCACCATGGGGGCAAGGAAGATCAGACCAAGGCAGATCAGACCAGAATTCTCCCTGTTTGTTGTGTGCGTTGCTCATGATGCTGCAGGGAACGACTTTGTGGAGGGGTGCGAGCTGTTCGGCCTTCTGGGAGCCAACAGCCGCCCCATGAACGCGCGGGCCATCTGGCTGCGATTCCAGGCCAGCATTGCCGCCAAGAGCCTGGACGAGAGGGCGAAGGAGCTGCAGCAGGACCTAATCGTCCTCACCAAGGCCCTCGCCATGATCGTCCAGGCGCAGAGGGGGGCCGTGTCCCGTGGGACGCTGCACCAGACGCGCCGGCCAAGAACGTGATGCTGCCCCAGAGCGTCCTCCGCGGCGTCCGGCCCCTGCAGCCTTATCCGGCTGACAATGGGCAGAGGTTGATAGACCTGGCCAGTCTCATCAATCTCGGCCCACAGGACAGCGGCCCCACCAGAAGCAGCAGCAGCAGGACGAAGGACGGCCCACCCCCCTTCCTGGGCAAGAGGTGCCGGACGGCCCTTGTGTCACTCGACCCGGAGAAGCAGCGCGCGAGCCTGCAGGTGCCCGGCAGCACGCCATTCTATCGAGCCCCCGAGCTCATCCTCCTCGGCCTGGAGCACGAACAGCCGGAGCTGCGGGACGACTCCATCCCGATGCTGGCGGCCAGGACCAAGGTGCGGGAGGCAGCACGTGACAAGGGGGTGCTGGTGGGGACGGGCGACAGGGAGGGCGCTTGGGTGGGGGTCCCAGCAGCTGTCCATTCGGTGGGAATGGCCATCTCGGCCGCGGCCTCACGCGGCTGGAGCGTGGAGGGGGCGCTGATGCAAGGGGAGGAGGACGACGTCTGGGAGGCGGGGCGGTGGCAGACGGTGGAGATGCTCACCATCTCCGGCCAGAGCGACGGCAAGCTCTTCATGGAGGACGACGGCCGCCCTGTCTTCCCCGACGGCAAGGCCCAGAGCCCCCTGGACAACGTCGGCCTGGCCTTCGTCGACGAGTGGTCGGCCATCATCTGCGACGTAGTCGCCAAGGCCACCAAGCTCCACGAGGGTGACAGGCTGACGCTCAAGGAAGTGGAGGACCGGCTGTTCGAGGCGCTGCGTCTGCTGGAGGCCCCCGACCTCCAGCTGACTGCACCTCGCGGCCATGCCTTCCGGCAGCAGCAGACGGCCAGCCCCGCGCCACCGCCAGACGACGCACACCCCTACCACAGCCCCGAGGACGACAGTCGAGAGGAGCAGGCGCCACCACAGCCACAGCAGCCGGCGCAAGACGTGCAGGCCGACGACCACGGCGAGACCCCGCGGACGTTTCTCGTCAAGATGACCAAGAAGGCCGGCGTAGACTGATAGATGGGATGGGCGAAGTCAGATAGTGGCGAGCTTAGAAGGGGAGGCTCAGCACCGATATCGATTCGTTCGCAGAGGAATTCGTTGAGAGGACGGATTCATTTACTGATGTCTCCGTCGTTGCTTAGCGAAGATCGAGAGGAGACGTGAGTCGATTGAATGAATCTGTGCGCAGACGTTGCCCTTATTATGCCACCATCATGCGATTGGCAAGGATGAAATCGTGTCAACATCCAACGCACCACGCACCCACGTGTGCGTGCCTCGAATGCCGTTTCCCGGCCGGCACAAGGCAAGGAAGGCGTCCCATCCCGACGGTCCATGCACTCGTTGAATGGGCCGTCGGGCTGAAGCGCTCAACATGCCATGCAGACAGGGAGACGATACGAAAGGCACGGCCGCGCACCTGGGCAAAGTCAATCTCTGCTGCGGACCCGACACACACCCAGAAAAAGGACGAGCATGGCCGATCGAGCAGCGGTAAGTGAAACCAAGACGGGCGTCAGTCATGACCAACTACACTTACTCGCGAGCATGCACAGGAAACTTCGATGTGTGCAGGGCAGGGGGAGAGAAAAAGTAGCAGGCAGAAAAGGCCCCACAAATACAATACACCGTCAACACGACAACGAATGGCGACTGACTGACTGACTGACTGGCATGGGCGGAGGGCGCGAGTGAATCGACAGATGGAGTGGATAAAAGACAGGCGCCGTCAGCAGGAAGGCAGTCCCACGGCCGCTCGAAGCGGCACACGCATAGCTTATCGACACATGTAGATGCAAATACACACACCAATCGACATACACGACGATGACCTTCACCCCCCCTGTTGAGCCGACTCTAATAAACGCACGCCCTCTCCCTCACTCCCTCCCTCCTGTCTCTCTGCCCTTCTGCCATGCCCCCCTCTCCGCCATGACTAAACGGTGAGGAAGTACTCCAGCCCTCGCTCACCAGCAGCATCGACAGCAGCAGCAGCAGCCTTGGTGGCACTGTCCTCCTTCCCTCCCTCCGCGCCTTCCGATGACTCCTCCCCGTGCTGCTGCACAGGCACATCGGTCTCGTTCTCACCCTCGGCCCCAGGCTCGGTTGGCTGCTCAGCTGCAGGCGTGGCGGCCGTGGCCGTGTAGGGAGCCCTCTCGGCCTTGCCCAGCGAGGTGATGAACAGCCACACGACAAACACCAGCGCCACGATGGTGCCGAGGATGGGGGGGACGAGAGCGCGCTCATCTCCGGCATCCTTGGACCACACGCTAAGAACATCGGTGGATTGGACTGAACAGGAGATGCAAGTGGCATTTAGTGAGGGAGGCAGAAGGACTTCGCGTGTGTATCGTGGTAGCTGTCTCACATGCTGCGAATGGTATCGCGAGAATTATGCCAACCAAAGCCTCCCCGGTAATGAGCCCCGATGAGAAGAGCAGCCCCCTGCCTTTGGCATTCTCCACAGCAACCGCCGGATCCGTGCCGTTCCTCACCGCCCGCCGCCTCGCCAGCTGGACAGTAATAAAGTCCACCAGCCCGCCAAGGAATATGGGCACTGCAAGCTCCAGAGGCAGATAAATGCCGACAGCCACAGCCAGCACGGGCATGCGGAAACGTGACCGGAAGTGCTCCAGCACCAGATCAGCGAGGATGATGGCCACAGCAATAGCCCCTCCCGCGCCGATCATGGCCCACTGGAGTGACTGGGAGAAGACGCCCTCAGCGACGGTCTTCATCAGCGTCGCCTGCGGTGCCGACAGCATCTCGTCGGGATTCATGTCGTCTCTTGGCCTCACGTCTCCTAGACCATAAGCGTTGAAAAGCAAAGACACAACCGGTGCCAGCACGAGGGCAGCGGCTGTGACGCCGACCTGGCCACCCACACACACGGCACAGGAGCCGATGAATATGATTTGGTATGGCTGCCTGTCTGTCTATGAGAGAGCATTGCGCACCATCTGCATGATTTGCTGCTTCCAAGGGGTAGCCCCGAGGATGGTGCCGGCCTTGAGGTCCTGCAGGTTGTCCCCGGCCAGCGCAGCGGCACAGGCAACCATACCCCCAACAACCTGCACATTAAATACGAGCCAGAAACAAGGAAGCCGAGATGAATGTCTGTTCCGTCCCCTGCTCACGATGGCTGCGGACGCCGCTGTTGCTGCCCTGGCCCCCTCTGCAGTCCCATAGAAACCCAATAGGCAGAGCGAAGCAAAGAGGACGGTAGCGATAGTAACGCCGCTGATCGGGTTGTTGGACGAGCCCACCTATGGACACATCCAAGTCGATCTCCTCCCTCTCCTCCTTCCTTCACTTTTCTTACCAATCCAGCCATGTAACCGGCGACGGACGAGAAGAGGAAGCCTGCCACGAGCGAGAAGACCACCGCGAACACCATGGATCCCCAGTATGAGGCACCCGACACGCCGAGGTCCTCCAGGTCAATGATGAAGATGAAACAGAGGAACACGGGGACAGCCAGCAGCAACACACCCAGAGCCACATACGTGATGGGCACATCAACCTGGTCGATAATGAACATATGGAAACAGCGACAGATGGAGAATCGACGGCGATTTGGAGACTTGTGGGTGCAGTCCAGCTGGCCATCTCATCCCCACCTCTGTGCGCGGCAGGCTGCCGGTCCCATGCAGCCTCATGTCCCTCATTGCCTTAAGCGACGCCCTCACCCCAGCCACCAGTGGCTTCGCTAGCGATATGAGAGCCCAGATCCCGCCAACAATCATCGCTCCAACACCGAGAAACCTCACTCGCTCCGCCCATATCTTTATAGCGGCGCCATAGCCAGTTGGTGTGGGGTCGCCGGCCTCCAGGCCGGCGCGCAGCACCTCGTCCAGCTCACTCTCATCAACTGTGGCCATCCATATGGGGATCGCGAAGACGAACGAGATGAGACCACCGGCGAAAACCAAAGAGGCGATGTTGAGACCAACAATGTTGCCTGGACACATGTGGACGGAAATGTTGCTGACATCTTTATTGTCTGTGTTTATGTGAGTGTCATAGGAACGCACCGACAGCGAGGAGAGCGACAGACAGCTCGGTACCCAGCCCGATGATCGAGCCGTTGACGGTGATGCCCCCACCAATAGAGCCAGCGAAAATCTTCAGACCAGTCTGCCCAACCTGCACAAACACGGTAAGCACGAAGGTCATATGAGTGCGACAGAGTGCCTCCCTCCTGTCTGGGTACCTCCCCCGACCTTGTAGAGAGCAGCAGCCAGGCCGCTGAAGAGGATTTGCCTCACCTGGTCACCACCAGCATTGCCGGCCTTCAGCACCTCAGCCGTGGCGACGCCTTCGGGGAACGTCAGGTCAGACTCGAGGATTAGAGCGCGACGCAGCGGGATGGTGAACAGGACACCCAGCAGCCCCCCACATAACGCGATCGCGAAAGTCTCGGCAAAGTAGAAATCTGCATTGACCGATGGGAACACATGCGCACTGATGTATCCAACCTCCCTCCCTCTCCGCTCACCTTCCCAGTATTCCAGCAGGATCAGCGCAGGCAGCGTGAAGATGACCCCCGCTGCCAGAGACTCGCCCGCCGATGCAGCGGTTTGGACCAGATTATTCTCCAGGATGTTCGAGTTCCTCCAGAGCTTCAGCAGCGCCATTGAGATCACAGCTGCACACACACACAATCATCGGCACCATTACAACGGCCATCTTCCGCTGTCTGTCGGCTCCGCTTGCCCCCCCCTCAGTACTTGACCTGCAGGGATAGATGCGCTGACGGTCATTCCCACTTTTAGCCCCAGATAGCCGTTGGCTCCAGCCAATATGGCCTGCATAAATAGAGAGAGGGGGACAAAGAGAGCACATTCTCACCGTTTCTTCCCCTTCTCGTGTGGGTCTGTCTGGATCTGGCTCTCACCGACAGCAGGACGCCCAGGACGACTGTCTTGACGGTGAACTGCGGGAGATCTTGTTCCGCGGGGATGTACGGCTGCTCCTTCCGCGCCGCATTCCCCACCTTCTCCATCGACGCCATCTCAGCCTTGTCCGAGATCATTGCTGCGGCGCTGTTGGTGTACACTGCTCCACGCTGCGCCTCTTCTTCCCTCTTCGCCCTTCTTTGAAAAGCTCGCCAATTTCCGATCGCTGGGAGGAAGGGGAGAGAGATCTTCCCTCCTTCCTCGCCCGAAAGGGTGGGTGAATAGGAGTGTGTATAGGAGTGAGTGCTATAGATAGAATGATCCTCAATTCTTGCCGATTGCAACAATTGGAATGTTGATGCATCTGATCAGTCACGGAATGTCCATTCATTTTCCACTCAGTCAGTCGTCTTCATGACTAGCTAAGCTAGTAGGACGCACGTCCCTCCCCCAACGTCCCACTGCCTGCCTCCTTGCGCAGCACAGCCAGCACACCCTGCTGTTGATGATGCTGCTGCTGCTGCTGATGCTGATGCTGCATGCCCGTCTCACACACAGTCTTGAGCACCGACCCAGCAGCACTGGCGCTAAGAACCGATCCCTCCAACGTGGAGGTGCTCATGATCCGCGACTGCTCCTGGAACACAACACACACAACACACCACACCACATGAGTCCATGAATGACACCCAGGGCGTGGCGTGCGATGAGGGAGGAGGGACTCACCACCTGTGCAGCTGGAGGCAGCACAAGCACCGCACTCTCCTTAGTCGCCCCTGCCGGCCGGTTTCCTCGCTGGCGAGCAGACGACACGGGCACGTTGGTGCTGGTGCGATGGCTGATGGACGTCACCTTGCTGCCGGAGAGAGGCAGCCGCGACACAGGTTTGGCGAAGGGCGGCCGGTGCTGGTGCGGGTCCGAGAGGGACGTCAGGGCCTGCGGGGGCGTGGGGGATGTAGGAGTGGTCCGAGTGTTGCTGCAAAATGATAGATAATGGAACAGGACAGGCGGCGTACCAGCCAGTTGTGACGCTGGTGTTGTGTTGTGTGGTGGGTGTCTTACTGCAGCATGAGAGGCTGTGGTGTGCCAGGTGGGTGTGAGGGTGGCCCCCCAGCGGTAGATCCCTCGCTGGTCCGCATCGAATACTTATCGAGCATCATCATCTCGCGAGTGTGCTGCAGAGAGTAAGACAGAGAGGTGTCGGTCGATGTCCGTCCAAGTGGCTTTTGGGTACCTGCTTACCTGCGCCTCCAGCTGAGAGAGCACATTCTGATACCGCTGCAATAACAACGAACATCTGGTTGTGGGTCACCGGTGGCATGCAGCGCGTGACGTGAATCCTTCTGTCGGGCTTCACATCACCTGTGTGCAGCGCCCCAGTTCGGCTTTGCGTGCCTGTTTCTGTTCCTCCCGGCCGCTGGCGACCCTCTTGAGGAGTCCGCTCATCTCCAGCTCCTGCTTCTTAAGGAACTGCTCCTCCAAAAACGCTATACGACTGTGTGGGGGTAAGAAGCACAAACACTGTGTGTCCTCACTGTTCTTGTGGTGGGTGGATCCATTGCTGGGCAGCCTACCTTTCTCGTTCGGTCCTCCACTTCTGTATTTCTTTCTGCTGCAGCCGGTCAGCCTGCGCCTTGACCTTCTCGGCCTCGGCGTAGCTCTTCTGCTTAGCCAGCGTCTGCACACAGCACATGACATCACATATAAAAACACAGACAGACCGATGGATGAACGCCCTCCTCTGCTGCCCTCACCTGTTCGACTTTCCTGAGGTTGAGGAGATCCTTGCTCCATCGGGGATTCCGCAAACCCGCAGCCCCCTTGCCCGAACTGACAGACACATTGCCGCCGTCGGTGCTGAGCTTCTCGAGCATCTCGGTGTGTGCCGCGCGGTGTCTGGCCGCCAGCTGACTCTGCAGATGGGTCGCGTGCGCCTCGAACTCTTGCACCTTCTGGTCCTGATACACACCGACCGACGAGAAAACGGACGCCGTCAGCGAATAGATGAGTTGCGTGTGCATATGGCGTACCCACAGCTCGTGGAACTCCTGCAGCTCCTTCATATGCGCCTCCTCGAGACCCAACCTGTAGCATTCACCCGCTCTCTGTCCGCCATTCTGGCTGCATGGTTGGCTTACTTCTCAGCGAGATGCTTCGACTTGAGTTCCCGTTTCCTCCGACTCATCTCCATGGCCTTGAGCTGATCCATCCGCTGCTGAGCCAATTCGGCATCGCCGTACTTGCCGGCCTTCTCGCACTCGAGGCGATGATGCTCCAGCACCGACAGGAACTCCTCGATGGCGCCTGGAGGACGAGAAGGCATCGGAGGGCTGTTGGAAGCTGCGGCGGTGGGCAGCTGTGAGGCCACGAGAGCCATGTGGATGGATGACGACTATCAATCAGGCTATTGGCAACTATCGGCGATTGGTATGGCAGCTGAGAGAGCTTTGTTGCTGTCGGGAGTTTCGAAGCTGAGACGGCAACCCTAGGGTTTCCATGCATGCGCCCCCACTCAGTTTCCGGCCATTTTCCCCTGCACGGCCGAGAAGGAACGCACACAACGCACAAGCAGTGGACCATGAGATCTGCATCGCCGACAACATCATGCTGTCTTGCGGCCAACATACAAGCGGGCAGAGCACTACAACAAATACACATGTCGAAGCAGGCAGGGACGGGCCCGGGGCCTTATCATTTCTTCTTTTTCTTCTTGTCATCCTTCTTGCCCTTATCCTGCCGGCCAATCAACGATAAGCACAGGCCAAGCAGATAACAGATCGTATGTGAGACACGAAGAGAACGGGACAGTCAGCCTGCTGTATGTGTGCGTACGTCTCCCCCGGCATCTCCGGCTCTCTTCTTGTCCTGCACATCCTTCTCTCCAGTCGCGGAGTGGTCAAAATCCTGAGGAGACACACATGGTATGCATGTCTGTGTTGGATGACCTCTCCTTCTCTCTTTCTGACCCTGAGTTGTTTCCACTCTTCCGGCCAGCAGTAGGATGTGCGGCTGAGCGGACCCACGAACTCAGACAGCTCCAGCGGGCGCCTGGTTATCTGCAGAGCACGCACGAAGGAATGATGTGTATGGTATGTACACGACGCGAAGATGTCTTACTTACCGACTGAATCCTCCTGTCCGTCAGCACATGGTCCACTGCCTGCTTGATCTGAACGGAACACACACATACGAAACATAGGAAAGACAGACAGGGAGGGCTGAGCGCCGTTGTCCCCCCATGGGCCTTCTTGGGCGCTCACCGATCCAGCGGGATAGCCTTCGGAAACGTGTGCGAGGTTGGATAGGGGAAAGTTGAGGGGCTCGATGGATACCCCCCGATCCTTCATGAATTGCTGTTGCCGAGACACAGAGACAGAGTGCCTGGCACAGCATCTGGTGCGCTGGTTTATTCACCTACCTTCCAGAGGAAGACTCGTGAAGGGTAGTCAGGGAAGGTCAGCCACACCTTCTCCTCGAAGAAACTCAGCAGCTCCTTGGTGTCCACGTGGTCGGCATACGGCTGAGTCGTGCAGCCGATGAAGAGAATGCGATCTTGCGAGGTGTTGTCGGGGCCGGCCTTCTTAATCTGCCCAGACACCGGCATTTGGCGAAAGTATAGATGCTGCAGTGCTTGCTGACCTGTTTGAGGTGGTTAACCAACTCTTTTTTGATCCGATTTGGCGCGTTGTCTCCGCCCTCTTCGCCCTTTTTCTTCTTCTTGGATGCGGCGAATATCTGGTCCACCTGGTCCATGTAGATGACCGCGGGGGCGCACTCCTGCGCCACGAGGAAGGTCTTGTGGACCAGGAGGGCCGCACCTGTCTTGGGTTGCGTGTAGAGGCCCTCGATGACTTGGGGGGAGAGGTCGAAGAACAAAGCACCCACCTCTGACACATATTCCAACAGTATGAGCCTGCTGTTTCCATTCATCTGGTCTGCTCACCAGTGGCAATGGCTCTCGCCAGAAACGACTTGCCCGTGTTCTTCGACCCGTACAGCAACAGGGACCTGCACACAATAAGGCCCACTAGCACACACTCAGCGAGCATTCTTTCCTCCCCTCACCTGCAGGCAAAGGGCGCTCTCTGCCTGATGTAGTCGCTGCCAAGAGGCAGGATGACGTTCTCGACGAGGAGCTGCTTGACCATCCCTGCGGATGGCGGCACCACGTACTCATAGATGTCCTTGGACGGCTGGGAGGGGTCGGGGGGCGGGGGAGGGGGAGCTGTGGGGGGACAGTAGCGCTGCGACGCGCCAAGGAAGGCGAACTCGCCGTAGAACTGGCTCAGGTGGACGGGTTTGATCTTCTTAAGAATGCCGTCCTTGACGAGGTCTGGGAACAGGTCCTCCTTGTTGCCGATGAGGCCCTGGGCAATGCACCACTTCTTCTCTTTCTTTCCCTTGCCGCCTTTTTTCTTGCCACCCTTCTTGCCTTTCTTCTTCCCACCTGAGACACACAGATATGGCCGGTAGGTCGGTACTGGCGCTGCATGTGTGGTCTTCCCTCCCGCCTCTCACCTTTTTTCTTCTTGTCTTTGGCCTTCTCATACATGTTGATGAGGTTCTCCAGCTCTTCCTTGATCAAGGCATCCACCTGCTGCCGGATCTCCTCCTCTACAGTTGGCCGCACAGTCGCCCTACATCCATACATACAAGTGGTCACATGCCCGCAGACTCAGCTGGGCCACACATATGACGATGTAGATAACTCACCTTGTGAGTGCTGGGTCGTGTCTCTGGTCGAAGTTGCGGCTTTCATCGCGTCCTTTCCATGTCGACATATACTCCTACGACACGAGACATGGCCAACGTCCTGTACACCACTGCTATGCCCTCTTTGCAATGCCTACGTCGATACTCTCCTTGATCTTGATCACTGCACCGCTCGGGCCGACCTGCGCATAAAAGCCAACAAACATGTGTGAGCTGCCCTGCCCCATCCTTGCTCCATGTTCGTTCGTTCATCACCTGTTGTTCGACGGGCTCGATGTCCTCTTCTCCCTTTTTCTTTTTCTTATTGTCCTTCTTGGGCTCTTTCTTCTTCTCGTCTTTTTTCTTCTTGGGGTCCTCCTCCTCCTCCACGGGCGGCGGCTCGTCCTTGGTGTAGAAGAGCTCATACTCCTTGGGGAAAGTGCCAGCCTGCCGGCGGTACTCAAGGTACCACTTCCTGCGCTCGTCCTTGAGATCAGCCTGCAGACAAGACACACGTGGTTGGTGTCTGGTCGGTAGTGTGCAGTGGATTTGTACCATGATGTCGACTGCTTCTTTCTCCCGGATGTCAGCTGTGGATGTCTCGAGGGCCTTCTCGAACTCACGCAGGGCCTCCTCCTGCTGCTTTTTCCTGATGTGAATGGATGGACAGCGAGAGCCGTGTTTGTGAGTCAGGCATGTGATGGAAGTCTGCGTGAGCTGACCTTTTCTGTCTGTTCTGCTCTGCGAGTGATGGGTAGTCGACTGGGGGCCTTGGTGGGGCGGTCATCCCGAGGAACTGCAGCTCCTGGCGGCGCTTCTCAGCGATTCTCCTTCGGGCAACCAGGCCCTTCCAGTGGGCTGAGATAAGCGTCACGCCATGCATCTGCAGCTCCAGCAAGTCCTCTGTCTCGCTCTTCTCCTGACAACACACGAAACACTCTCATGCACGTGTATTGCTAGGTGGCTGGCTGGCCGGGTGGCTGGCTGAGGGGCTCACTTGGCTCTGCTTTTGCCTGGCCTCTTTTTTGAGGGCATCCTTCCGCCACTCGGCCACCATCTTGGCCTTCACAATGCCCGACCGGCCCCTCTCATTCTTCTGTATCAGCCGAATGGCGTCCTCGACACTCATGGTCTCTTGGAAGGGGTCTCGTGGGTCGAGCAAATCGTCCTCCACCACCGTATTCTTGAAGGTCCTCAGCCAATGCTCGAGCCTGCCAATCTTGATCTCCAACAGGTCGGCCACGCTCGGGTGGTCCACAAAGTAACGAGGCACTCGCGGGACGAGCGCACCGGACGGCAGCTTGAGGTCAGTGACCACCTCGTCGAGAGCGAGGTACCGAGACGTCGGCCTGGGGTTGAATGGCGGCGACAGCAGCTGGTGCTTCATCTCAATCAGGCGAACGAGAGTGCTCTCGAGCACCTTGAAGACGCTCTCCCTCTTCTGCGGATGGACCAGCTGGTCGTACGCGGCCTCCAGACTGTTGTATATCTGCAGGTACTTGACATACACGACGGCCTGGTTATCAAAAGTGAGCTCGATAGGCTTGGGAGGGGGCGGCTTGGAGCCATCGAGAGGAAGCTCCTCGCCCTCCACGGGCAGGTACCTGCAACACAACCACACATGAGAAGCCGAATTCATGTGCATATCGTCTCTCCTTTAAGAAGCCGATGCTCACTCCAGCTGCAGCTGCGTGGTAAGGTCCTGGATGGCATTCGCCCACTTGGTGTTGAACGTCTGGTGTGACATGATGGATGATGCCAGAAACGCCTCACAGAGGTCAGCAACCAGCAAGCCAGCACAGGCAACTGGCCAAGCGGCCTGATGAATACCGTTGCAGAAGTCGTTTCAGTCTTTCGTCTCTTAGGGGGGGGCCGCCCCCAGGACCTCGCGCTTCCGGGAAAGGAGGGCGCGGAGTGCTCTGTGCGTTCCTCGGGAAGGCCAGATCTGAGGGTAAATCCATCTGTGTGACCCGGATCTCCGCTCAGTTCAGCTGCAGAAAGCGAACACCTTCTTCCTGGCCAAAACCAGATCGATCGAGCGTTTTCCCTGATTCTCTCGTCCTTCCTCGGGTTTGCAGCCGCCCAATTGGCTGCGGTTCTCATCCCATAAGGCTGAGTAAGGCCGTTCGTGCCGCGTTCCTTCCCTCTCGTCGCATCTGCCGTCCGTCCGTCGACGTCCATCCACATGCCAGTGCACCCTGCAGCGGGCAGCGGGCGTGAGGGAACTCTGTGCCGCACCAAGTGCTGCGGCGCCACCTACTCCGTGGAATCCATCACGAAGGCGCTCAAAGCGGGTGGAGGGCGGACGGCGTGCACGGGGTGTTGCAAGGTGGGCTGGATGGGTGGATGGGAGAAGAGACACATGGATGGATCTGTGTGTGGAATGCGTTTCTGTGCCATGGACGGATGGATGGATGGTGTCCGCTTCAGGCCACGATTCAGCTGACAGACCTCAAAACGGTCAAGAAGATCAAGCCGTTCTCCCTGTTCCGCCAGCAGGCTGCTCGTAACAGCCTCCTCATGGTCCCTCCCATCGCCCCGGCCCCCCTCAACCCATTCCGCAAGACACAGCTCAAGTACTCGCTCAGTGTCGGCACCACCGCCACCACCAACAACAACCGTCCCATCGCCATCCTGCCGCCGCCCAAGACCAAGCGTGCTGCCATTCCCCCACCTCCACCGCCCTTCGGTGGCAAGAACAGCGTTGGCGGTGGCGTCGGCGTGTCGGTGCAGACGAACGGGTCGCGTGTGGTGCGCGGTGGGTCGCGGGGGCCCATCCGTGTGAGTGGGGGCAGGGGCAAGGGGATGGGAGTGGGAGTGGGCATGTCTAAGTATGTTGGTGTTGGAGTCGCTGGGGCCGCCCCGGTGTGCAAGATGCCCATGGTGCAGGGCCTGTCTGCCGGCCAGGTACAGTACGCCACACACAACACACAAAACACAGCACACAGCACACACAGCACACGGACCGGATCCTTTCAGGTTGCGTTATCCATCTGTTGTGCTGTGCTGTGTTGTGTGCTGTTTGTCAGGTGTGTGTTGGTGGTTCTGCTGGTGCCGGTTCGAGTGTGAGTGTGGGCCCGTCGTCCAAGCTGCCCGTGTCGGTGTCGGTGCTCCGTGCCGTGATGCCGCAGCTGCCCATCTTCCAGGAGACCGACATCACCCCCAAGAGCACCGACACACCCAACGGCAGCGGCAGCCCCAAGGACCCCGCCGCACCTTCCATCCCCAAACACAAGACCAACACACAGCAGACACACACCGGCAACGGCGAGACCGCTGGGCCCGTCCACTCTTCATCCAACAGCAAGCAGAAGCTGCCGGGTCAGATGATCTCCCCGTGTGTGGCGCCGGTCGCGACAGTGCACCTGATGGGCGGCGGGGGCGGGGGGAGTAAGTGGGTCAAGAAGCGGCGGTCCCACAGCAAGCAGGGTAAGAGGGGCGGTGCTGCTGGCGGCTCGGGGCAGGCGGCTCATCAGGCCACCGACCTGGCCAGCACCACGGGGGGCGGTGATAAGGATAAGGAGCGGGCGGGGGTGGTGACTAAGGGTCCCGTGTCGACGTCGGTGTGGCGGCAGAAGAAGTCCCAGCCCCCGGCCACCGTGTCGGCCGTGACGCAGACCTCCCCACAGCAGGAGAACAAGACGCCCGAGACCACGCCCCAGGAGCAGCAGCAGCAGCAGCAGCCGAAGGGCAACAAGAAGACGGCCGAGAAGAAGAAGAAGCCGGTCGACACGACCAAGACGGCCAAGGGGGGCACACACACGGGGGAGGGTAAGAAGGGGGGCAAGAGGCTCAGTGCGGGCTCGTCCGTCAGTGGAAAGTCCAAGCGGCCGAGTGGTGGGTCGACTGCGACTGCCAGTGGTGCGTCGGGTGTGCTGAGTGGTGCGGGGGCTGGGGGTGCTGGGGGCAGTAAGGAGGGGGCACTGCTGCAGTGGAGTTCCATGTCTGCCGAGGACAAGAAGGTGATGGAACTCAACCTCAAGGGCGGTTGCATCTCCAAGTGAGGGGGGGACACGGACGGACATAGAGAGGTCAATGACACACTTGTGTACCATGCACAGCACATGTGTGGTTGGTGTGTGTCTTGTCCTCCTTTGGATGCGATGCCTGTAGGTATGACAAGTGGGAGCAGCACTTCCAGGTCCGCACACACACACCGACACACACAGGGAGAGGGAGGGAGGGAGGGAGAGAGGGGGTTGCATCCTTCCCAGGCGCACAATGATGGTTCCATGTGTGTGTGCATCGTGCAGGTGTTGTATGCGTTGAAGAAGGCGTTCAAGACCACCCGCACCAACCGCTCATGCCCCTGGTCCGAGGTCTCCGCATCACTCGAGCACTACCTGGCCGCCGTACTCGCACGTATGTAATAAGCACCTCACACCTCACCACCACACAGAGACCCACACACACACATCCATGACATGAGAGGGTATGTGTATGTGTCCCCAGAGCGCTCGTACGAGGCTAGTTTGAAGCTGACGGTCAAACCCCTCACCCGCACGGCCGCCGTGGCCCCCATCCCGCCCTCCCTGCAGCAGCACGGCCGCCAGCCGCTCTTCACGTGCGACCTCTACATCACATTCCCCAAACCGTTCAATCGCAGTATTAGTACCAAGGTGCGTGGGCGGAGGAATGGATGGACCGCCAGCACAGACATGGGTGTATTCCCGTGTGTGTGTGTGTGTGTGCAGGTGTCGAGTTTTCCTCTGAAGGTGTGTGTGGCGAGCACAGTGGGCCCCAAGGAGGAGGCCAAGGGCTACGCCATCACGGCAGCACTCCAGCACCTCAAGGTAGGTCAACCACTCTCTTCTCTCCTCTCCAGTCCCATACCTCTCACCACATGGGCCTTTGCATTACGTCTGCGTGTGCAGATTGCCATTCCGGAGGGAGTGCAGAAGCACCTGGCTGCCTTCGGCAGCAAGACCGCATCCGACACCAGTGAGACTGAGTGAGTGAGTGAGGAGGGCCAGTGTGTGGGATCTGAGGGAGAGGTGGGGAGAAGGGGAGAGAGAGACACACAGACAGATTGATAGAGGGAGGGGAGAGGAGGTTTTACCGTCATCACACAAATTCAGGGACGTAGGACGGTGCAGGGAGGGAGGGAGGGAGCAGAAATGCCTAATGCATGTCATATCTCTCTGTGCGTGTGTGGTTGATGCTTCATGTCTTGATTGCATCCATCCATCCATCCATGTGTGCGTGTATGCGTGTGTGATTGATTGTACAGCCCCCCACGTAGTTGAGCCAGCCAGACCAGCCAGCAGCAACATGTCCACACACATATGCAGACACACCTCGTCACAAAAAAGAGAGAGGTACAAGAGACAGAGCAACCCCCCCACCAGCACACAGAGTCTCACCCAACGCACCCGACATCACATACACAACACAGACAGGAGGAGGACAGAAGAGAGGGGGAGGCATCTGTGGTCTGTCTGTCTGGCTGCGTGTGCGGCAGTGTGCCTTTCTGCTCGCCATCCCACCATTGGTTGTACCGACACACGCCTTGCACACAGCCAGGCGGCACAGCACACAGATGCCTGTCCTCTCCTTGAGTCCCTGGTGCTGGTGCTGGTTGGCCGACACTCGTGCCGGGTGTGCGTGATGCATGCTATCGTATAGTGCATGGCATGATGACCCATGGCCGGCCATGGACGGACAGATGTTTGCATATCGTGTTGAATGTTTAACTTAGCATCATATCAATGTATCTCAGAATCCACAAGCGAATGACTCCTCCCGCACACGAGTCATATCCACCGGTTGTTTTGATGCAGCGTCCCGCATGCAATGCACATCGGTTGAATCGACTATACACAAGTCATTTGAATGAACAACCCCCACAAAGAGAGAGAAAACCGACCGTAGACCCCACCATAGCTATCATCTGCACATCTGTGTCAGAGTCTCGGTCGCTCGGCAAGTCAGGCAGAGTCAGAGAATGGTTTGTTGCACGTGGGGCACTTTGGTATCACACGAGGCGGTTCGGCCGTCACGTCATCGGCCTCGCCCCGCCCGACGGCCAGCGCATGCTCATAGCAGTCCTGACAGTAACAGATGTGCCCTGACAAACACATCCACACATCCACACATTCATCCAAACACAGATAGACTGGTCGCTGTGTGTGATCCCTCCCCTTCGTCTCACCCACCGCATGGGAGCTTGACGGATCGCTTCTTGTCGCCGCAGGCCATGCATGCCTCCTCCATCTTCTTCTCCTCCTCCGCACGCTCCACCCGCGCCGCCTCAGCTTCCTGCCCCAGCTTGCCCAGCCGCTCTATCTCACTCGTGATCTTGGCCACCAGAGTTCCCAGCTCGGCCGCGCTGCCCTGGTTGAGGCGGTCGCCGGTCAGCCGATGCCGCTCGAGCCTGGCATTCTGGCTGCCCAGCCGCTGGTTCTCTGCCTCCAGTGATTGGATGCGGTTCTCGTTGGCTTGCATGGCCTGGGCGCGCTCCTGAGTCTCGGTGATGAGCTCTTGCAGGGATAACCCCAGGCCCTGCACCACAGCCCGCAGGTTGCGCAGCGAGTCGTCCTTGGTCTGGATGGCGGCCCCCATGTTCCTGATAGATAGATACATCCATCGGCATCTATGACTGACTGACTGACTGACTGACTGCCCGCCCGCCGATGTCTTTGTGTGTGGAGAGGTGTGTACCGGACGTTCTCCTCCAGCAGGACGATGCGCTGCTGGCTCTCCTCGACGTTCTCCTCTAGCAGGACGATGCGCTGCTGGCTCTCCTCGACGCCGCGGCTGGCCTGAACGGAACAGATCCGCGATGACCCATGCAGTCTTTCCTCCCTCCCTCGCCTCCTCTCCCTCGGTTGGCGCTACTTACCGATTCGAGTGCAGCGGCGGCCTTGAGGTAGCGGAGCTCGCACAAACTGGTCGACTCGATGAGGCTTTGCTGTGCCTTCCGCACAGATGTCACGCTGTGCACGTCCATCCAGTCGATGATGTCTACGGTGCTCAACTGCAGGCCGCTCAGGCGCTCCTTGAGCTGCGAAAACGAAAACTGACACGCTAGCAGACAGGGAAAGGACAATACATGGATGGACGTATTGGTGTGACTGCAAGTGCGGACGAACCATGGTTTGCCGTGTTCCGGGATGCGATGTCGAACAGGCCGATGAGGGGCTCGCATCTGTTGTCCGTGTACTCGAATGACGTTATCTGCATGATCTGCAAACACGGAACCAAGACCCACACACAGCAAGCGGAGATGGATGGATGGTCAGTCACATAGATCTATCTGCTTCGATCTCTCGCCATGCGCACGCATAACACACACCATCTTGAGTCCGTCGTCGTATGCTTTCGCCAGCCGCTCCCCGTTGTCAACACTACGACTTGACGCCAGCTCCTGCAGGACGCGACACACACATGCCGCCTAGCTATCAGTCGGTCTGTCCTCCTCTCCCCACCTCGGCAGGTTCCATCGTGATGCGGTCACCGACACTGCTGGGAAGAGCACCCTGAGCATGGCCACGTCGACGAAGGCAAGCAGCGTAGAGCCGTTCTTGATCTGGTAGTGCTGGAGTGTCTTGGTGTGATCCAGCTGACCGATGGCACTCACCCAAAGGAGACAGACGGTCAGCTTCTCATTGCTCTGACATACACATGCGACGTACCCTTCGGCCGTGATGCTTCAAGTACAGTGGAACAGATGCCGTTCCCCCGCTGCAGAAGTACTTGCGCAGCACGTGACTGACCTGCACACAACACGCACACACGCACGCACGAACGAAAGAGCGAAAGAACCAAGGAATGGCGAAAGGGAAACAAGAGCGTGCTTCACCGTGGCGTCGTCGTCTATGTGAATCTCGATGGCGCGAGGGCCGGACAGATCAGCACACAAGACGAAGAGGCGCATGATGCCAGCCAATAGGCAGCAGATCCGGCAACTGGCAATGCACAGCATACAGCCACGACCCTTCATCCATCCATCCAAAAATCTTCAACTTCCAAAGGAATCACTCACCTGAACGAGGGAATGCCTGCAGCCTGCAGCCTGCAGCGGCCTTCAGCAGCCACGGCCTGTTCACGACCCCCCCAAAAGCACCCAGCTGGGGGGAGTGCTCTAGGCTACTTTTTTTCCGCCCGTTCGTTCGTCGGATCGGTTCTTCCGGGGTTGCCAATCGACCGAGCAAAAAATCAGCCAAACGCACATGGAAAAGACGCCAGGAAAGCGCATGCAGCCCCCCCACCCCCCAGTGTGAAGGCCCCTCACGCACAACGGCGAACAGAGCTCGGGTGGTTGCTCGGGTGAGAAACACACAGCATGGCGATAGAAAGCAGACTTACCTCGTCATTCTTCTCATGGATGTGTGCCAGATCAATAGCCAGAGACGTTGGAGGTGAGAGGACAGTCAGCCTCCTGAGTAGCCAGAGCAGCGTGAGGTGAGAGGATGATCACCCAGTTATTGCCTGTGATACCATCGATTGTCAACAGGCCAAGACACCGAAGCATCTGGACATGCACATCGTATCAAATCACACGCAAAAAGGTGAGAACAGTTCTGGCGATCAATAGACAGACACATACGGCACAGGCACGAATGCAGACAGAGCATGAGCATTGTAACACGACAGAACGACAAGCAGGACCGCTAACAGTAAACCGATACGTATACACATGCACTGTACACAGATACATAAAAGGAAGGACACTGAGGCCTACTAAAACGGGCAGACCTCTGAGTCGAACACAGCGAGGACTTGATGGGCGGGCAGTCTCTCTATCAGGGCCTCGACATGGGATCGTGACAGCTTCCTCGGCCCAAAGGAGTCTTCATGTATGTGGACACACCTCCCCATTCTCCTTCAACAGCGCTGTCACCTGTGGGGGTCGTGCATCGCGCTCAGCTCGCTGGGCGCCTTACTTGTAGGGGACGAGCACTTTCACGCAATGGGAGCAGCGGTTTCATGGAGCACCCTAGGCGGCCTGAACCTGGCATCAATTTGGTCCCTCCAAAAATGAAGGCATTGGCCACAGCGTGTGTTGCTCCAGCTTTCCTTTCTGTGGATGCGTCAGCTCCCGGTCCTTCGTCTGCTGCTTTCATCGTCACGGCGCACCGGAAGCCATGGACGAGAAGACGGACCTCCCGAAGATCTATCGGCAAGCACTCTGCTTCTGCCGCAGCTGGTGCTGCAACTGCATCAGCAACCCCTGCCCTCCCTCCCCTCGAGAGCACTGTTGTCGTTGAGGAGATCTTGCCAGACGGCCGTCCTCCGCTGCTATCTCTGAGCGTCGAGGAGCTTGCCAGCAGTGTAGGTGGCACCGGACGAGCCAGGAGGATATGGGAGGCTCTGCGCAAAGGCCAGCTACCCATCGACATCGATGACAGCACAGAGAAGCCACTTTCCCACCGGGCTCTGACAAGGCTGCTGGAGGCCACCCAGCTGCTGCCCTATGAGGTGATCAACGAGACCGTGAGTGCGTGTGGCACGGTGAAGCTGTTGGTGCGGCTGAGGGATGGCCATGGCGTGGAGACCGTCATTATCCCGAGCGAGAAGGGGCACAGCACGCTGTGTGTGTCCAGCCAGATTGGCTGCGCGAGGGCATGCAGGTTCTGCAAGACCGGGCAGATGGGCCTCATGAGGAATCTTGGGGCGGACGAGATCCTTGCACAGGTGAGTGGGTGGCCAGCCAGTCGAGAGAGGACAGGCATACCCACCCATTGCGAGTTCCCTCCTCTTGGCTTCACGCAGGTGTTCTTTGCACACCGATGGGTGCGTGAGAGCGATGGCCGCACACCGCCGATCCGAAACGCGGTGTTCATGGGGATGGGTGAGCCCCTCAACAATCCGCGCGCTGTGAGGAGGGCAATACAGACGATGACAGACCCATTCGCTTTTGGGCTGGGGCGATCACACATTACGGTGAGCAAGAGTCGCCATACCCGGCGTGATCTACATCTTTCTTCCTTCTCTTTGGGTGCTCGTCTGCGTAGGTGTCGACGGTCGGCCCATCTCCTGCCTCGATTCGTTTGCTTGAGGACATCCCCGTGCACATAGCATGGTACTAGAGCACAACACACACGCCACGGATGGAACAGACGCACACACACCCAGAGATATCCTCCCTTGTCCCTGGCTGCGTACTAGGTCGGTGCACGCTGCACGCGATAATGTCCGACGGCTGCTCGTCCCCACCACTGTCCACCCCATGACTGACCTCCGTGACGCCTTTGCCGACATGCTGATCGCACGCAGCAACAAACATCAGGGCCCGGGGCGGTTTCCCAAGCGCTATCTGAACATCATGGTCGAGTGCACCCTGCTGGACGGGCTGAATGACAGCAGAGAAGACGCTGAGGCGCTTGTCGAGCTGGTGAGGGGGCTGCCTGGCGAGCCCAAGGTGAACCTGCTGCCGTACAATGACATCGGTGTCCCCGGCTACCGGAGAAGCCCTGAGGCAAAGGTAGGTACGCATGGATGAGATAGACACAGAGATGGGATGTGTCTGTTGAGTGGAGTTGTTCGTATGCGTGATGGGTTGATGGATGGATGCAGGTGGCTGCGTATCTGGAGTGTGTGCGAGAGGGAGGGGTAATGTGTTCGGTGAGGCGGGCCAGAGGCGATGAGGATATGGCAGCATGTGGCCAGCTGGCCACCACAGCTGGGCTGGGCTAGCTTAGGGGGAGCTGACAGAACGGTCGAGTGAGGCTGAGAGATTTCTGTCATGTCTTGAGAGATCTTTTGCATGAGACTTCACAAGCAGTAGAATGCACTGACAAATGGATGCATGATGGACAAACACCACAAATAAAGGCAGTCGAAGGGTCTGTCTCACATGAAGTCTCGTACATGTCTCTCATCCAGACAACCCAGGTCGCCCTCCTCCCCTCCCTCGTCAGCACGCGTCTCAGATGCTACCCCTCTCCTCCTCTCCACCGCATGTCTGAGCAAGTCAGCCGACGCCACACCAATCCGTATGTCCAACGCCCGGATGTCATCCCTCAGCCGATTCGTCATGTCCCGCATCCTCGGTATCGCTTCGTCAGACGAGTGGCTCTCCGCCTGCTGCTCCTGAGCGTCCTGCAGGTCGTCATGGCGACACGAGAGGGCCTCCAGAGTCTCTGTGAGATGCGTCACACGCTCTCTGGCCGCCTCAAGATCGCTCTCAGCAGTGGCCAGGGAAGCCCTGAAGAGAAGGAAGCGAAAGATGGCGTCTGTCCATCCATCCCTGCATTTCGTCTGCCTTTGTGTTGGCGCACCTGAGGGTTGTGGCCTCCTCGGCCAGTTGCCTGAGAGCCCCGTCATCATTCATCTGTCCCTCCGTCAAGCGGATGGTCTCCAGCTCCTCCCCCAGCGAACCACTCACGCCCTCCAGCCGCTCCCTCACCGCCTCGCCACTCGCATCAATCGCCGCAGCAGCATACCTCATGAATACTTCTACACTGCCGCCGACACCAAAGGCCCCATCTCTGGCCCCAGCCGGCAGCACGACATTCAGCCGGTCACCCACACGGTCGCACTCCTGGCGCCACGCTGATGGCTCGATGGATGTCTCGATCATGTCGTGGTGGTCTTCAGCGACGTCAGCGCCACAGTGAGAGGGGGGCGGCCGGCGGATCGAGAGTGGGAGCAGCGACTCGTCGATGACGGCCGCGTCGTGCTGGTCGGCGGCATCGGTGTCTTCCGACCTCGAGAGAGGACAGGCGACAATGAGCATGTCATCATGTTCGACCCCCTCCTCATCTGTCGCCTCGCCAGGCCCTTCGGGGAAGGTGATGGCCTCGTGGGCCCTCAATGATGGAGGCGAGAAGTGGAAGTCCCTCCTCAGCAGCTCCTGGTTGATCACCTCGTTTAGCACGAGACACGCCTGCTCCCCATAGCCCGATGACAACTGAGACAGGCTGCCAACAGAGGCCATAGAGATTCCCCGGCGACTCAGCTCGTCCCGCAGCCGACCCAATGCCTCTTCTCTCGACACCGGAGGGGAGAGAGAGGACGGCCTCTGCCCTCCTGTGCGGGTGGGTGGGCGGTCAGATGCCGTGGGGTCGCTCTGCAGGCTGAACAGCCACATGAGCAGGTCATAGTGGTACTGGAAGGCGTCCACACGCTGGCCGGGAGGCGGCGCCTGGGCAAAGAATGCTCGATGGAGGGGAGGATACCCCCTGGGAGCGGCAAACAGCCGCTGGTAGTCAAGCATCATGAGCTTGTCGACAATGTCATCCATGACGAGCAATGGTGGAGCGCGGTGAGCTCGTGATGTTGTGGGGCGTTCCAGGACCTCCTCACGCTCGCCCTCATCAGGCCGCTCAGCCTCAGGTTGGGGCGGGGGAGTACGAGGGATGACACAGGCGGCGGGGGGCTTGCAGAGCGCCTCAAGGCGCGAAAGGACTTCTCTGATGGACGGCCTATGAGCAGGGGCAGTCGACAGCATCGACACTATCAGGCTGCGGAGCTCCTCAGAGAGGCTGTACGGAAGCGGTGGGTAGTCGCCCTTGCTGATCTTCATGTATAGCTCGTCTGCAGCAGCAGATGCATTCAGACACAGTAATGGAGACCGAGTCTTCTGGCCACAAGTGGCACTGCGTGTTTGCTTACAGAGTGACATCTGCTTTTCGCCTCTGAAGGGTGACTTGAGCGTGGCCAGCTCGTACAGAATGCACCCAAGGGCCCACACGTCGGACTTGAAGTCATACCCACCACCACCCAACACCTCCGGCGACACTGCAGCAACCCAGCGCATGAGGCAGAAAGTGGCAGGCATTCTTTCCTGGTCTTGCCGACATGCTCACTGTATAGTGGGGTGCCGACTTTGGAGTGCGCCTCGAACGTCTGGCTACTCATGATCCGCCCAAGCCCCAGATCACCAACCTTCAGACGGCCGTCCTGAGCCAGGAATATGTTGGCCTGCACACCAGAATGCACCACACGCCATCTCTCCCACTCTTTCCTTCTCTACTTACAGGTTTGAGGTCTCTGTGCAGGATTCTTTTGTCGTGCATGTGCGCGATGGCGGATGCCAGTTGCCGCCCGTATTCGACGCACTCGCTCTCACTGAAGGCCGACTCGTCCTGGGCGGTCCTCTTGATGAGGCGCTTGAGGTCGCCGCGCTCTGCCCACTCGACGATGATGTAGAGCTCGCCCGCCGAGATGAAAGAGTCCAGATAGGCCACGATGTGGGGGTGGTCCAGGGACTGCAACAGACGAACCTGCCGAGATGGAAAGGAGAGAGAGGAGATATGCATTCATGGATTGTATTTCTTCTCCTTTGCCCACCTCCTTGAGGCATTTCTCCTTGCTCTTCTGGTCCATCTCGTCGAAGGCGTTGACCTTCTTCAGTGCAACTACTCGCTCGTCATCAGATGGAGATCTGGCCATGTAGACTACTGAGAACTTGCCTTTTCCTATGGGCTTCAGCACTTGATAGCCCTCTATGCTTGTGCCGGACTGCAAAAGGGAAATGCTTGGCGCCGACACTTTGAGTTGCCATGTAAATTCACGTCGACTTGTTAGCTCGCAAAAGGCAGAAAGGCAGAGTAGGGAGAGAGGCCTGCTGGATATGGCCTAGCGTCTCCGTTTCCCTCGCCCTTGAATGTTGCAGTAGTGTTTTCGAGTGCGCGACGCGCTCCGGCATCCCGTCGAGGTGTCGCTGATATGTCGGAGTTTCCGCAGCTGCCCGATGCTGTATGGAGCTTCATCAATTCCCTGCGTGAGGCGGATATCCCAGGTAACGCGGCTACAACCAGCGGCGCAGCGTCTTATGTGTCGTGACGTCCCTCTATCTGTCTGCAGGATTCATCCCCACCTGCCCCATCACGATGGCCATTCCCCGCCAGCCTGTGCAGAGCACCACCTCCCAGACCACATACGAGTACAAAGCCATACGCGACCACCTGAACCACGTAAGAGGCCAAGCAGCAGCACCACCGACCGACCCATCCAGCGAACACACCCATCCATCTCTTTTGCCTTTGCCTGCCACAGAACAACTCGAGTCCGACCAGTCGGCAGAAGTTGAGCAAGAAGAAGCTCATTCCGGACCGCACCGCCCTCGGCGTCATCGAGGCATGGGCCCGGGAGCAGATGAACAAGAACCAGAAGAGGGGTGCGCAGGAGGGCGGCGAGTCGGCGGCCGAGAAACGGGTGAAGCTCAATGGAGGTGGCGCGGCGGCAGCGCCGGCCGGCGCTGCTGGGGTGGGGCAGGGGGAGGCGGCGGGGGTGGGGGCTGCGGGAGCCCGTGAGGTGATAGATTTGGCTGACGACTTGGCTGACGACGACGGTGATGGGGATGCGGCACCGCCGGCCATCAACTTAGGTCAGCCTCCGGCTGCGCTCATCACCAAGGTCAGGTCAAGGATTGCCAATATGAATGGATGGGCGGGGCGGTGGCTGACCTCCAGTTCTGCTGTTTTTTGTGCATTGTGCAGGTCAAGGTCGCCAAGACGGTGCTGCAGAACATGATGCAGTGGTTTGGCGAACTCAACCCTCAAGCAGAGCCGTCGGACCAGCAGGTTAGTCGTGTGAGGGGTGGATGGCGCACATACCAACACACGAACATGACCCCAGTGGCGGCAATCCGTTTTTGGTCGTGTGTTGGTCAGGTAGAGGAGTTGAAGAAGACGTTGAGCCGGAGCAACCGTGTCGAGAAGGCCTTCACGGAGTGGGTGTGCTCGGCTGTCGAGCCCAACACCGAGGCCAGGAACACCCGCAGCAGAGCAAGGGGTGGGATGGGCAAGCGGTGGACAAGCACCTTTTCCCCTGCATGTCTGCATGGCATTGTGTTCTCAGACACCTACTCGCGTGTTCCCAATGGCGCATTCAAGATGGGCGTGTCGGCCATACTGCGGGTGAGGGGGCGAGTGTGGCCGTCATGTGTGGATGGGTGTGAATGCGTCCCATTCTGTTGTGTGACTTCGCTGGATGCAGGCGATATACCCTGCCGCTACTTGAAGAGCAGCTAGGGGAGGCTGGTCTGTCCGTCCCTTTGGCGGCCACGAATGGTCAAGCTGTGTCATGCGACTCATGCCTCATGATATTTCCCCAACCCCTATTTTGCCAACGATCGCTGCCTAAACGTGTCACTCACTGACCACCACCTACCTATTCTCTAATTGTTTATTCATCGCTGTCTGCCTGCCTGCCTGCCTGCCTGCCTGTGACCCTGACTGTACATATAACTGATGAGGATTGGCTTGCATACATGCGAGTGCGGCGTTCGGATGCGTGTGTATTTGTGATGGCTGGCTGGATGGATTGGCTGTCTTGTCTGTTGGTATGTATGTATGTTTGTGTGTATTGCATGGCTGGACGCGATGCGCATGGCCATATAGATTGCCGCATATATGCTTCATGGATGGATGGATGGATGGGTGGAATGCAACGCATAGTGAGTGTGCGGAGAACGAACGTGCAGAGAATTGGTGAACGGTACGCTACTCCCAAAAAGTCCTACTCAGTCTCGGTCCTCATTCATATGAATTTCACAAACAGCAAGACAACCTATACATGCGCCCATCTACGGCACACACACACACACAAACATGAACGCAGCTAGAATATACCTTCAGCCCCCTTCCCCCTCCCTCGGGCAGCACACATCAGTTCAGTGGCTGCTCTGCTCTTGATGCAATCCACCCTCTCGTCACCCACATTTCCCCCCGCCACAGCCCCCAGCCGCCACAAAGCTCTCCCCCGATCTGCGTGTCACTGTGAGGCCGCAATACGACTCGGCATCGGTGGGATGGATGCCAATCATCTTGTCAAAGTCGCTCTTGGTCGCCCCCAGCCGCAGCGCCAGAGCAAACCCCTGCGTCACCTCGCCCGCATTGAGTCCGACGTAGTGGAAGCCCACCACTCTGTTGTTGTCGTTTCTGAGGCAGACGAGCTTCGAGAGGTTGGTGGCCGATAGGTTGACGTCGAACTCGTCTGAGCGGGCCGTGGCGACTTTTGGGCGGTGCACTGCTGACAGCTCAAGGTTCTCAAACTGAGAGAGCAAGGGGGCAGCATGATGAGTGAGCAATACAGGGCTGGCTGGCGGATGTGTGTGTGTGTGGGCGGTCTGTACCTCTAGCAGGAGCGTTTCGATTGCGTCCTTGCCGTATCTTTCCTCGGCTTGCTCCTCTGAGAGGCCCACACACCCGTACTCAAAAGGCCTGAAGAGACAGACAGGACATCATCATATCAAGGCGGGTGGGTGTGCTGTCTGTCTGGTCCATCATCCTGCGTCATGCTCTCACGTGAAGACGGTTGTGGGCACCATCTCATAGTCCATCTTCTCCGTCGACCCACCATACAGCCGCCTGACACACACCACGCATAGACGCGAATGAACGAGTGACGCCTTCTATCCTCCCTCTCTCACCTTGCCAGCAGCTCTCCCGCCTTGACGGCCACGGGCGTGAGCTCCAGCTGGGGGATGCAGTCGCCCACCGCATAGATGTTCCCCGCGCTCGTCTGCTCCACATCGTTGACGTCTATCTTGCTCGTCTGGGGGTCATAGCTGACACCAACGGCATCCAGACCTGATAATATCGTAAAGATTGATCACCCAAAGCTGGAGGAGTGGATTGGGCGTGGGTGGAGGGGGGCATACCAAGGTGGGCTGTTTCGGGCGTCCTCCCTGTGGCAAAGACGACGGTATTGTACACCTGACAGACAGACAGGGGAGGGAGTAGAACTTGTTGTCGCGTCAACCCGTGGACAACGAACAAACATGGTGGGTGCATCATACAAGCGACATGTCAGGCTCAGTAGGAGCATATGTCAGCAGCAGAGAAATGCCGCTCAGACGGTAATTCCAACAACTGTTTTAGCTACTCTCATCCTGGCCCACACCCCCCTCTACCTCCCTCCCTCCCTCAACCCTCTCACTCACCTCAGTCACCACATTGCCCGACTCGGGGGTTCTCAGCTTCACTTCCAGACACGGCAGCCCGCCCTCGTCGGGCAACCTGGGAGCACAATGACGACAGCACAGGGCTGCTGTGTGCGTTGCGTTGCTCGGTTACTTTCTGGTGATGCTGATGGGCGTGACGGAGTAGATGAAGCGCACCCCCAGCTCAGCCATGAGCTGCGCCACCTTCTCTGAGCACTGCCGGTCGAAACCGCGGAGGACGATCGACCGTACCGCCACACTCACATCAAACTGTAACCATATACACACAGGCCCTTGCTCTCGTATTCTCGTCTGCCTGCCTGCCTGCCTCTCTGTCTGTCTGTCTGTCTGCTTGACTGTTTTCCCTACGTTGAGTTCGTTGAGGAATCCCGCTGTTTCGAGAGCGATGTACGACCCTCCCACCACGAGTGTGCGGCCCGGCGGCCGCTTCAGGCTGAAGATGTCGTCTGAAGTGATGCCGTGCTCCACTGCACCAGGGATGTCCTGAACGAACAGGTGGCAGGGCAATCAATGACCCATGCTGTCTGCACACGTGTGTGTGTGGTGTATGATGCACCTCTGGTATGGTGGGTCTGCCCCCGACAGCAATGATAACCTTGTCAGTGGTGAGCTTCTGCCTCTCACCGCTTGAGGCATTCCCGTACTCTATCACACGAGGCGACTCGAAACGGGCAAGCGCATTCACATACTGCGGGGAATGAGAAGCCAAACACCCCAGACGGGTCGAGTCGACGGAGAGATAGCCATGGTCTGAGGTGATGTGTGTGCGTGGCTGACACCACGTACGTACCTTGACTTTGTTAGATCTGAGTGCGGCCTTGTACGAGAAGCTCAGCTGGCGCACCTTGTTCTGGACGGTCTCCACCAGATGTCCCCACTCATGCACAATGCCGCTGTGTCCCCTGCCGTGCACCTCAGGCAGCTGCCAACCCAGGTGACGCCCGTCCTGAACACACACCAATCCATCACATCACGATTGACACAGCTGCAGCAGCAGGAGCAGCAGCAGTGATATCATCGCTATATGCCCACTGACGGACATAGAATGACGCTCCAATGAGCCCTGCGTAGTGCATGAGCTTCTTGGGAATGCATCCCACATTGACGCACGTACCGCCCAACCCCCACGTTGTCCCCTGTGGCGACGGCTGTGACCACAACACATGCCATGCCAACATACCAGACAGACAGACAGACAGGCAGACAGGCAGTGAGTGACAATCAGCCGCTATATCTCCCCATATGTATGTGCTGACTGACTTACTCCTTACTCACCTTGACATAGTCAAACAGCGCCACTCTCGCCCCATGGTTGGCGGCCTCCTTCGCCGCTGCCATCCCTCCCGAGCCGCCGCCTATCACCACCAGGTCATAGTCAGGACGGGGAGAGGCCGCAGAGCTCAAGGCACGATAGGATGAAAGGCCGCAAATGCCACTGGATCTCCGCCGGATGAGTGTGCATTGTTTTGGAGCGACGAGCGCCGCTCGCCGCATTGATGCAGACCTTTACAAGCAACAGGCGTCTTGGGGCTGCCGGGATTCGAAATCTTCCTCGCCGGCTAAGCTCGCATGCAGAGCGATCCCTTCCACCGCCAATCGTTTCCCCATTGCATTGTATTGCATTGAAGGGAGGACCACAGCTGTGCCGAGCCAGTCTGACGATTGATCGGTCATTCATGAGACGACTGGTGCGTGTCAATTTGGATGGACAAAAAGATGCACACAATCAACGCGACGTTTATCATCCATCACACATACGGTCCGGTCCTTCTACACCGCACACGAGAGTAGCAAGAGGACTGCTGGGCCGTCGACACGTTGAGAAGGGTCGCCGAAATATAAATTGTAGGCAATGATCTGCAGACAGACACAAACCAATCCCAAACAAAGAGGGGGGAAACTGTCATTAACCGTAACACTCGTCTGTGTGTCCGTGATACTCATACAAATACAGTCCCATCAGCACGCAGACTCAAACAGGCTCAAGGGGAGGAGGGATCAATCCCCGCCCCATCAGCACACCCCAGTCCCGCAAACCCTCCC